ATCATTTCCAAATAAGTTTAACTAATATATCGCGTTTTAAACCGTTCAAGTGTTTTATTTAAATGTGTACTACTCGCGTAAACTATAGACAGTATTTAATCTATAGCGTTCCTCGATAAATGGTCTAATCAATAAGACAATATTTTTCAATTCCGACCAGCAGTTCCTGAGATTAGCGCGTTCTAACAAACAAACAAACTCTTCAGCTTTATATATTAGTAAAGATAAGCGCTTATGATAAATGAGATTGTTGTGGTGAAAAGAATTACGGGTTTTGTCGATTTAATGGTCCCGTTTTCACTTTCATTATCTCGTAGTTGTGACGTCATAGTGCTCAAAGTTTGTCATTACTTTCCATTTTCAATGGTTTACTTATTTCACCTCTCTTTTTATACAGAAATTTTCATCGGGTATTGTTGAATTCATATGCCCAGGAGACAAATAGCAATGCGTGTTCGCAGGTCCGAATATCTTTGGAGGCATGATTTTTTAATACAATACACATTTTAACTTCTACTTTACTTTTATGCAAACTTCACTTATAGAAATAATTAGCAAATTTTCAGATGGAAACCTTTTTTATGACTATCACAATGAATTAAAAAAATTTAATGTTTAAAATAGAAGAAAACGATCGATTCTTAAGATAAATGTATTTTCGAATAATTATTTTGTTGTTTTAATGACTGTCGTCGAGAATGCAAAAATAAAAAATCTTCTAAAAAATTTCCAAGTAAAATGAACACACCGTGTCTCCCTGTGACCACGGCTATTAAGTAACCGAAAACCGTAATTGAAAATTTAAACAAGTTTAACTAATACATTTCGCGTTTTAAACCGTTAAAGTGTTTTATTAAAAATATAAACACAAAGATTTAATTCCCCACGGGGCAAGGTTTTTATACGTGCGGTGCCTCCAAACCACGTAAATTGGCAAAAGAAAGGTGCGACTTTCACAAGACACCGTCGCGTTTGTTTAACGTGAAATCTCAAACCAGTCCCACCTACAATACGTGTAAAGTTACAACTGATACGGATCATTTGACATATAGTTACGTATAAATACGCCAATAGGCAATTTGCGTATAAAATTCATTATGAAGAAGGCAACAAACAAAAGAAGATAGGCTTAGGGCGAAAACAAAATGTCGGACGCTGTATAATATCCCAATATTTAGTAAGAATTATAAAACTCAAGAGTTTGTTAGAAACCTCAGGAACTACTGGTTTGAATTGAAAAATATTTTTACGTATTCAACTAATAGAAGCGACGAACGATGGGATGAAACGGGAAGAAATATTCGTATTCGAGGACTTCCGTTGCGTGACTGTGAAAACCAAAAAAAAATAATACAAATAAACAAATACAAGAGTCTATTTCCCAAAAAAGATATATGAACTGTCCTCGACAGTATATAGGCATATACGAAAAAGACATCTTTTAAAATTAACTCGCAAGAATTACGGGACGCGGAAGATATCGTGAATAAAAGCTACAATTTATAAAGGTGAGGAGGTTGTTTGCATCAATAAATAATAATATGATGCCCAAGCCAAAGTCGCGGGCACAGCTTTGTATTACATAATTTCGTTAATGATATCGACAGAATTAACGGTGGTTTTCACATATTCCTTTGTGTTTAGCACTGCGACTTAGGACTATTATCAATGGAGGTAGTACAATAAAATGGAAAGTAACAAACCTTTTTCTACAACGAACCAACTGTTTTGACGAGATAATAATCTCGTTAAATATATAGTAGCCTCGTTTCTATTTTGGTTCATTTTTTTTGTGCAATAAAGTGTAAATAAATGTGTATGTATTTGTACTAGTCGAATTAATTAATCTGACGTTTGTGCCTAGTCAGACATAAATGTATCTTAGAAACTATTGGCTTGAATTGAAATAATATTTTTGTATTCACTAAAAAAGAAACATAAAAGTAAACTACTACAGTATAGTACAGTACTAAAGTTTTTATCAAGGAAGGCTGTAAACTTTAAAACATTGCGCTGTGACTAATAGGAGCGAAGGAGCAAGGGGAAACGTGGAAAAAACGGGGAACATATTTGCGAGTTTCCGATGCGTACGCGTTCTAGATACACAAAAATATGTACGAAAGAATGATTCCCCTTTAAACGATCTAAAAATGTCCCCAACACTATATGTCTCTGTTATAAGATTTCGCGCGATGGGACGCGACCGACGGCTTGGGTTCAATTTATATGAATGGAGAGGTTTGCAAAAACAAATTTGGATGCCTAAAATAACTATTCTACGTGGACGAAGTCGCTGACACGGCTAGTGTATTACCACCTCGGGAAACCGTTACCATTATAAAGAAGCAGCCAATGTATATATCAAGCAAATAATACATCATTTCAATTACTAAAGAAACGTTGGTTTCAACACGTTAGAAACTTTTTCAACATAAAGAGTGACATTTTAAGATCGTGGCGAAAGACAATTAAAAGCGAGTTTCCTAATGACCACTTCAGAGACATAACAATAAATTAAATGTATAATATTCAAGGTATCTCATATATAGGGTATAAAGTTGCTAAAAGCCAGCTTTAAACGGGAAAGGATTCGATGTTATAAGATTATACAACTAAAACTAAACTGGGAAATATTATCCAAATAATAATTATTTATGCTATATAGCATTGCGTTAAGGTCGAGAGGTCCGACGTTCGAATCTCGGGGAAACGGCATAATAATACTGTCGCCAGGGCACAGAAGTCTCATCAACTATTTGCTTGTATGTAAAGCATAAACGGTTTAAAACGCGTTTACTTAAAGTAATTTATGATTGAATATTATTTTAACTTTTCAATGTACATATTTCGCGTTTTAAACAATTACAGTGTTTGTTTTTACAGACAGTATTTAGCTGTAAATCAGACCGATCAGTAAAACGGACACATAAATGTGTCTGTTTGTGTTTATATAGGGATTAAGCAGAAACTCTTGAATCATTAAAACAATAGCTTAGGTGAATAGTACAGCTAAACACATAAGTGATGAGAATATGTCAGTTCATTGTGTTTTACAAGTTCAATGTATGTAATTATGTATAATAATATTAAATTATTCTAACTAGACGCTTGAAAGACTGCATCATGAATTAATTCTATAGAATTTTATAAATACTTCGTCATAAGATAATACAATGTGTGATGTACGAGGACGCAACGGTTTTAAATACTACGTAAAATTAAAAAAAAAACATTTAAAATACAATGCGCGTGCTTGTTGTATTATTTCTGTTTATCCGTTCTCCGCAAATATAGTAGCCTTTTTCGTGTATATAATAATTGTTTAACATTTAAAATAACAACATACAAATACATTTTAAATATTTCCTATTAATAAGAGTAAACATTATTCGATATAAATACCGTTAAATGCACAACATATAGTTTTTATTGTAACTTCGCGCCCTGCTAACATTTAACAATATGTGAGTTACGTTCCATTTAAGTTTAAACGGTTTAAAACGTGATATATATTAGTTATTATTTGTAAATTATTTTAACTACGGCCTGACGTTTCGGATGCTTTGCAGTCATGGGGAGAGTGTCTCCATAAGTTTAACTAAATGTAGGTACTACACTGTGGGGCATGGGGCATGGGGCAGACTAAAAATTCTGTGCACCGCACTACCGAATTTATGTATTACCGTATTATGCCTAATTATGCTAAGAAATTATGCGTCATTTGAGTTTTCATTCATGCACCATAGACTACAATAATTTCTTATCTATATTGACAACAGATTATTTCCTCCAACCTTCAGAACCTTAAATGGCGCGTCAGGGCTTGTCTTATTCAATACTCGACCATCCTTGTATCAAATAATGGTTTCCAATATAACGCTATGACTTATAAAACGTAGAAAAATAATTAATGTTACCGATTGATCTAATTTGAATCAGAAAAGCGCCATCTTTTGTCGTTATTATGACCAGCCATTGAATACCTCCAATAGCTGGGACAGGGTCTCTTAGGATTTAGAAATTGTCGGTTTCTGGTTTATGTTCATAACCGGAAAACGAACTTAGGAACGGTAGTCGGAACTAGCCACTAGATTATAATAGTGTTTAGATATCCTTACTATATTAATATTATAAATGCTAAAGTAACTCTGTCTGTCTGTCTTTTTGTCTGTCTGTTACTCTTTCACGCCAAAATTACGAACGGATTTGAATGAAATTTGGTATACCGATGGTCTGAGAAAGGAAATAGGCTACTTCTTATTGCGAAGGTTAAAAGGGGGGGTGAAAGTTTGTATGGAAATTCGTGGTTTTTGAAGCTAGAACAATGAAACTTTCTTCTTGGGCTTTTTGGGAATAGGAGTGGGAGTGTTGCGGCAAAGTAGCACTAACCATAAATTGGCTGCCTTAAACGCGCCCTAACATTAAATTAATAAACATCCCCAATAATTAAAAATTCTACCCCAAGTCACTATTTCACGCGGACGAAGTCGCGGGCACAGCTAGTGAGCTATGAAAGTATTAAGCTTTGCAATTACACCATGTATAAATACTGGAGTCAGGAATGGAAGACCTTTATACATTCCTATAACTTGCCTATTTATATTGATTTAAATACAACACTTTAACGATCTGAAACGCACTATATAATAGTTAAATTTATTTGAAAATTATTTTAACTACGGCCCAACGTTTCGGATGCTCTCGCCGTGACCACGAATGTTGCAGAGGATTAGTTTAACTAATATACCTAGGTAATATACCTAGGTAATCTACACTACTCGCGTAACTACAAATAGTATTTAATTATATTGACATTATAAATCAATAATACTAAGTTTCTAGTTCACCTTTATCAACAAAGCTAATTTAAAGAATTGCACTCATAAAATTTTATGACATGTACATTATAATTAACGCGTAGGAAGTAGCTAACAAGATAGAACAAGGATAATTACTTTAATAATGCAAACGCTGCTTTAATTGTACAATGAAGCACTCACTTTTCAAAGCTTTGCCTTCAGGAGTGCACCTTAGTCCATTTATCAAACACTCCACATAATTTCTGACTAGTCTCTTACTATTAAAAAGTGCATCCACATCTAAATAGTCATAACGCGAATCGTATTTTGGCATATTCCTCATCGCCTCGATATCCTGACTGGAAACATCGTTCACCACACTGGCACAAAAGCACAACACCACGATCAAAAGCATCGTGAAAAAGTTAAAGTTTCAAAAATCGAATTAGCTTATCGCGGTTTCCCGCGCAATTTTGTTTGATGACATTCGTGCGCGCGCGCCGAATGAACGTAACGTTGTGGTGCGCGCGCCGTTTAACCGGTAGTTTAAACCGAGTGGCCGGTTAACTGCTGAGCAAGAAATCAAGGGCAAAAGGATGCAGTGAAGGGTTGTATACAGAATGATATTTAAAATTATCGCGCGAGATTTACGCTGCACCATTTATTTAGTGCTGGTATATGTAAAAAACATGTTTTGTGCCGAGACAAACAAACAAACAAACAAAGACAGAGACAATTGATAAAGTCTCTATGTTAAGGACTAAAATACAAGCGACATAAATGAACCAAGCAATACATAACAATCGTTTGGCCAAGATCTTAGATATTATATTATTATTGTTACATTTATATAGGACATCCTGTGCATACCTCTTACATTTATTTACAATTTCATACGTATAAACTATAGCAATATAAATAATTCAAGTTTTCGAATTGACATTGACACGAATTAATATACAAGCTTTAATAATAAAAATTGGTAACAGACCATGTCTCCGGTTATATTACATTTATAGTTTAATGACTCACGTTATAGAACTATTTAATGAAGACAAAATATTAGTAGTAGTGTTCTATATTATACAATAAATAAACACCTTTTAGTTAGTAGTAATAGATTATATTATTGAAAAAAAAAATACGACACGGGGAGGGACTTGAACCGGTGTCCGCAGCATTCCGTGCTCTAACCATTTGATCTGCCGTGATACTACTAGTAGAAATAGTTAAGAAGTTAAGTAAAAAAAGTTTTTTATGGAAGCAGAGTAAGGTACAATACATTCAATTGTCCTTACATTGTATAATTGGAATTTTAAAATAATATATATATCGGCGCAAAACAGGCAATGCGTTACGTCATCGCTGCACGTGTTCCTAACGGCGTAAACAAGTGACTCACGTCGGTCGCTCCACTGAAATCCCCCACTACGTGCTTATATAAGGCCGTCCGTTGTAGCGCAGGGCACTTTTGGAAGGACGGCGCTCTGAGAGCGAACGTCTAGTCTATAGCTATTTTTATTATTCAATTATAAAAGTGTTTCAATAGTAAAAATGGACCACTCTAACAATATTGACAATTATGACGTCGGTGCTGCCGACGTCACCAATTTTAAAAACAATTCTGGATCACATACTTCGACATCAGAAGTGGGATTACCTACCTTCTCCGCTTAATAGCCTGATACAAGGAAATTTCATACTGGAAATGGCAATGATGGAATACCGGTGGAAACCTCAGCTCCAACACTTGCACTTTGTCAAAAAAGAAACTCAAGAGTTAGAAACCTTGGCAGTGGATTCATCCATGGTGGACATTTCTACAAAATTATGATTTCGATATTGAATATCACAAGGGTTCAGGGGTTCAAGAACCCAGCAGAATTTACAGTTAATGTAATGACCTATGACCTTGTCTGGTTAAAAATTAAAAAGTCTTCAGATTGAGACAATCTGACAAATCCCGGTGAGTTCCATTTAATCTGTTAACCTAGCGAGGCGCAATACTTATTCTTCACTTCATTTAGTCCTTTGACTAATCCTAATAATATTATTGCTCTTAGCGACTGATCGTTAATGAGTCAATCATAAATATTATGTGAAAAGATGCACGTTGGGGTATTGGAGCCCACCAACGGCCAAAAAAAAAAAAAAAATAATAATAATGTGAAAAGATGCACGTTGGGGTATTGGAGCCCACCAACGGCCAGCGGTAGCGAAATCCTATCCGAAAAAAAATATTAATAATAATTTATTCCCCTGTGTCCGCGGCGCTCAGGACCGCCTAGATCACAGCATCGACCTAGTCAAATCATCCTTTAGAGCCTCTGCTTTATGCAGCATCGCCCTGTCTCCAACCTATCCTTACCATGTGTTGTCTATAATTGTATTCGCTATCCGCCTACACATTAAAAATACGAAACTGTTGTCATGTGGAATGAGCAGTTCAATAAAATTAAAAATACGAAACTGTTGTCATGTGGAATGAGCAGTTCAATAAAATTAAAAATACGAAACTGTTGTCATGTGGAATGAGCAGTTCAATAAAATTAAAAATACGAAACTGTTGTCATATGGAATGAGCAGTTCAATAAAATTAAAAATACGAAACTGTTGTCATGTGGAATGAGCAGTTCAATAAAATTAAAATATAAGATCACCAATATCATTAGTCCTTAACTGTTGTCATGTGGAATGAGCAGTTTACTTAAATAAGTCACCGTTTACAATAGCAATTGATTTAAACTGTTGTCATGTGGAATGAACAGTTAATTAAAATGACCTTTTACCAATATAATTTGTCACTGTAACTATTGTGATGTGTTACACGACAATAGTACCACAGGGTACACGACAATAGTACCACAGAGTGCGTGACTTTGGTGTCACAGTGTATGTGACAACATAACACTACAGTATACACTAAACTCAGTCAGATATGAATCTTATTGCTGACCATAATAATTATTAGCAACCTGGTTCACAGATACCAATCTCAAAGATTAAAATTTACCAGTTTCAGAAATTAATATTCTTCAGTAAAACACCAAAACGGCTAGTGCAGAGCGCGCACAGCCGGTCAGGATGGTCGTATCGGCGCAAAACAGGCAATGCGTTACGTCATCGCTGCACGTGTTCCTAACGGCGTAAACAAGTGACTCACGTCGGTCGCTCCACTGAAATCCCCCACTACGTGCTTATATAAGGCCGTCCGTTGTAGCGCAGGGCACTTTTGGAAGGACGGCGCTCTGAGAGCGAACGTCTAGTCTATAGCTATTTTTATTATTCAATTATAAAAGTGTTTCAATAGTAAAAATGGACCACTCTAACAATATTGACAATTATGACGTCGGTGCTGCCGACGTCACCAATTTTAAAAACAATTCTGGATCACATACTTCGACATATACATAAAGTAATTTTTAAATACATCTAAAACGTCGAGGTATTTTTGTACTTTACTTTAATGGGGCTACAAGTATATTTCACGTTTTAAACCGTTTAATGACTACAGACAATACTTTTCATTCTTTCATGCATGTTTTTTCAGTATTTTTGAACCATTGAACCATTTTCGCACCGCACGCAACGAAATCCCACAAAGTAAATAAATAAAAATAAAATATGTTTAATATTTGTCAAAACACCACCAATATGATAGCCACATCATTATCATCATCAATACGCCCTTATGCTCCAGTCGTTTCATCATCACGTTCAATCCTTAGCTTATTAATTCTGGACAAGTACAATTTCCAAGTCCTTAGCTGCTCTCTCCCACCAAACTACCTGAATCAACCGGGGTTATGTTCGTCTTCTCGCTGGAGGACATGGATCGAGGGTCTACATTCAACACATGGGACCTTCTACATATTCTTAATGCCTAAGCGTAATTGAAAATCGATTATAGATGGAAAAAAAAGACATGGGCAGGACCGGCATGAACCGGCGTCCACAGCGTTCCGTGCTCTTGCTTAAAATAATCTATAATCGATTTTCAATTTATATAGTGCCATCATGTGAAAAATTCAAGTTAGTGTCTCCCCATGACCACGGCTGTAAAGCATCTGAAACGTGGAGCCGTAGTTACAATAATTTTCAGAAAAGTTTAACTAATATATATAGCGTTTTAAACCGTTAAAGTGATTTATGTAAATGTTTATTACTCGCATAAACTACGGACAGTATTTAGTATTAAAGTTTTCAAATCCCAAGCGAAAGTTTTTGAGAATTCTGTCCACAATAGGAAACTTAAGCGATTGCTTAAGCCTGCATTAACTTTCGATTATGCATTTAAACGATCATACATCATTCGTCTGCAGATGACAAAATAATTACAGATACAAGCTACTATTAAGTCTAGGAAGTTCCATTGTACTAGATCAGCCATTCGGAACTGCAATCAGGTGCTTTATAGTACTTTTATGTACAGTTAGCGCACAGAATACTGAACAAACCAGAAGGGCCTTTGATTAACATTTGTATGTTTCGACCGAGCCAACTTAAGAAGCCATTTTGTGTTAAATTATCGAAGTAATAGATATAGAGAATGTCTATAGACGTGCATGGAGTTTAATGAAGTGATGGTAGGTAAAATACTCTAGCAATACAACACATCACCAAGACGCGCTGTCGGCCTAAATTGGCTTTGGATATTCGACTTAATCTTTTCGGCTTTTTCATCTGTGGACAGCGGTTCGTGTCCTGGGCCAAATTTCAATATTCCTATCACCCATTTTATATCCACAATTCCAGATGGAGTCCAACATATTTCAGACAAAATTATTGTTACATATTAATTGATTAGAAAGATTTAAATAGAACACTTTAACGGTTTAAAACGCGATATATTAGTTTTAACTATAGACAGTATTTGATTAGAAAGATGTTGGACCGATAATTGTTAGCCATACACTACTCCAATTTGGAGTAGTCTTGACAGCCTCAGTTGAAAGTGTATTTCGGTCTCTATTTTATTCGTTATCTGTGGGTTAGCACTGCAGGCGTTACAACACTGCAAGTAAATTGTACTCGATAGGAATCTATAATGATATTAATGTGTAGAGATGTATTATAATTGTAGATACTATATCAATATTTAGTTTTACATATAATATTATCTTGCATGATGCATTCCTAAACAAACAGTTGTTCCGCTTTCAGAGGCAAGTTTGTTGTATTTTCTCTATGTAACATTTGTGATTCTTTTTGACGTTTATATAACTTGTATGTACGTGTGATAGCTTTTATTATTGTCAAATATTATATTATTTTCCTCGAAATTCGTGACATCGTTATTCTCATGGGGCACAAGGTAAACACATTTCTGTGTCTGTTTCTCTGTTCTCAGAAAGAGAACATGCTAAACTTTTAAAATAACACGTTTAACCATTAACTTTATAATAAAATTAATTT